GGGGGAGTAAGAACATGACACTCTCTATGATCTGGCCTGAGTCTATGGGTAGGTCATCTGAAAAAGTTATGGGAACTGAAACTACTGTGGCCACATGGGAGCTTTGGCATGAAAATGGATTCATCTTACTTGATCTTTACCAGGATTCTTGGCAGTAATGATATGGGTGGAGAAAAAATGTGCATCACTTGACTTCACTGAAGAATCATAAAGGCATCCTCTAGTAAAAACTCTGAATCAGTTTTTCCCTGCAGCAAAAGCTGGGCTAGTTCTTGATTTGTTGCAAACAGACAAATGACTCTAGCACACAGCAAAGATCAAATCAGTTTGTTCTCCAAGGAAATATTACTAAATGAATGCCCCATGACTTGACAGAAAAATCTTCCTTTAACTTGCTCTTCAGATCCTGTCGATGTTGGCAATTTAATAACAAATAAACAAAATAAGAATAAACTGAAAGAACAGAGATTTTCTCCAGTTAGGACCGAAGACAAAGGGCCTAATTGCATGGGAATAATTAGTTTCTACAGGGAGACCAATAAAAACTTTGATTTCTTTCTTACAGACCAATCTGACATAGACTAAATGTAGGGGACAAGCACTCATAGGCATGCTGATACATTATACACAAATGCAGACAGATACTGAAGTCTTCCCCCAAACTGGGTATCATTGACATATTTGCATGCTTCTGTTTTTAAGTTAAGATATCCTCAGACGGTGCAGGCAAATGTAATTCAGTTCAAGGTATACTATTATATTACTCCCCAAAAGAATGTGCATTCCATTTTAGAGGAAACAGTATGTGTTGTAGTTATGTATGAATACACATGATGACTTGCCTCATGTGCCCTCTGTTGCTCTAAAAGGCTCTGGTAGTTTCCTGAAATCTCTGCTGCCATCTTCTGCTCAGTCTGAACTAATAAATCCATCCAAGTCTCACATTTCTCCAGGAAGGTCTGCTGCTGGAGCAAGAAAGATTGCAGCTTACTGAAAGAAAGAAAGAAAGATGGATTCAGGTAAGGTCTCCTCCTCTCACACACAGTGTTGAGGGTCTTGCAATGACAGAATTCTAAATCAGATGGTAACACTTTTCCCACTCAGCCACCTCATTCAATTTATTTAGTCAACACTCTGAAAAGTGGCAGTCTTCCTCATTTCAAATTCTGCTAATCTGTGGCAAAATCAACATCTCAGCTCACCGACTTCACTCTTTACTTATAAGTATACGAAAGAAAAGGAGCTTCGGTTAATGAAATATATGAAACATTTTCTGTATTCTACCAAAGTTATACTTGCTAGTTGTTATAATCTAAGAAAACTATACAACGATCTTTAACTATCCCCACCTGAATCTCTCCGTAGTCTGAGATGAGATCAGAGACCAATGTCTGTTCAGGTTCTGCATCCTTTTGATTTCTTTATCATTCAGAGGAAGCCTGTAACCCAGCTCATTAAGACGGTCCAAATCCGAGGACATGCTGCTGAACTTCAGCATCTGACTCTGCAAGAAATAAACAGAAGTGATAACTAGGAAGTTCAGTAATTACACTATCACAGACTGCAAAATTATGAACTACCACTCAGTTAAACTTGTCACAGCCTTGGTTGCCACCAAGTGGCAAGCAATCCCTGTGCCAGGGAAAAATTGCATTTCCACTTTTCAGCCTCTGGTCCCATACCAGGAGAAGACTTGCATTCATGTTTAAATGTGCACAGAGAGGTAAACTGAAATTGCACTGAAGTGTTTTGCTGAACTGGGGATTTACTACTCAGAGCTGCTGAAGTAGGCTAGTGTTTGAAACCATATGTTTATATTGTAAAAAATGTGAGCCTTTTTCCTCGTTTCTTAGCCTGAATGCTAAGCTGGCAAATTCCCATTGAACTTATTCAACTTTGTATTTTTAGGTTTTTATTTTGCAGTACAGAAATATGCAATTCCAAATGTTAGGAAAATGCCCTGTTTTTTAGCATGCCCGAAGTAGAATTATGTGTATAGTTAATCCTGATAGAAAAATAATGGAAGATTAAAATGACAAAACCAGCCTAGACAGCAAAGTTCATTAACTTCCCGTCAGGGCCTCTGAAAGAAGAAGAGGGGGAAAAAAAAGCCCCACAAAAAGAAAGAGTAAAAGAGCTCAAATGGAGATCACATGGTACACAGTATGAATTTTTCTTCAGTATATCAAGATAACCAAAACAAATAGATGGCTTCATCCCTAAACTAAATGCTACTGAGACAGGAATTGCATAAATTCAAAAAAAGTTGAGAGAAAACAAAATGAAGGAACTCTCCAAAACCCGTTAAAATTTCCATTCCCATTTTGATTTTATATTAAAGTTATTCTTAACAGTTTGCCTGTGTTTTTCTTCTTTACTCAAGGGCAAAGTAACATGGACAGTCATTCATTGACTGCCATCAAATTTCGAAGTTCTCAGTCTTAAACTTTGAATGAGTGACAATCCTTTAATAAGTATAGAATGCATGTGTGGTATTTGTGCATACCCTGCACTACAAATAACCAGGCTAACAGAAAAAAAATCAACACTTTCTGCATTTCATAGTCACCTTGAGTTCCTCCATTCTACTCTGTATTGCTGAGAGATCAGATGAGTGACTGGGATCCTGTCCTTTCAATATTTCTTCTGCTTCTGTTATCCAGGCCTCAAGAACTTGCAGGTTCTCGGCAAAAGTTTGAAAGTCCAGCACTCCAGCCTGGAATAGAAAAGGACCCACAGTTTAAGAACTTCGTCCACACAGCATGCATATTGATATTACACTCCTGGTTATTCTCATTATAGATTTGCAAACAGTTGTATAGGCTAGGAGAAATTGTAACTGCTGCTTTTCTCACAGACTGTGGAATTATTGGGGTGGTTTTAGGTTAGAACAGAGGATTTTTGGTCATAGCAAAAAGGCAACAGTTCAACAACATGCATAAATATCTCCCTGCCTTGAAACAGATAACCTTCTCGAACTTCCTTTTATGAAACTAACTCCTATGCTTAATTTATTGTCAGCAGTGACAACCACTAGTTGCTATTATGGCAATTTGAAATTAAAAACTCCTCTTATGCTTTGTGTCGTCACAGCACAGTGATGTTATAAGCACATTCTACACAATGCTGGATTTCTTTGGTAAATCCTCTTGTCACCCAAACAGAAGCCACTGCCTTTGTTGCTTTCTCACCCATATGCTTTCCTCTGGAATACATTCTGCTGCACCTTTTTTGCTCTTTCACCCCTGGTGACACATGCAATTAGCAACATCTACTTGAACAGGCTTTCACGCAATGGTAGGTGTCAGTCTGTTCACTAATATTAATAGGAACTGTAAAAATCCATTCTACACAATTATTCAGAATCTCACATTTGTTTTCCTGCTAAAAAACTAGCTGGGAAGAGAGGTTGTCTTCAGGGGAGCTGTAGCTGTGGATCCAGCTGTTAGCACTATTGCTGTCTGCAGAAAGCATGGTGCCCTTGGCATTCCAGATGATAGACACTTTCCTCTATGAGGTTTGCTATTCCTCTTCGCAGAATTTGGACCTTCTTACAAAGTCTCTATGCTGGACTTGAGCATATTTTCTACTCTCAGCATTGGCTTCCAGGGAAGTCTAGGAAATGCTGACAAACAGGTACCACCACCCTCATTCCCCAGGCAGTTTTAGATTGTTTATATGTTTTCAGGTACCACAAGATGATTGGATTCAAGGACTGAAAACACCCTCTGCATACCTGAAGTACAGTCTGTTGCTTGCGGAGAGCCTGTTCTAGGGTTGACAGATTCTGGTTCAGAGAAAGATGATCAGACTGTATAGCTGCTGCTGCTGAAGCCTCCACCTGGCTTTTTAGCTCCTCTCCCAGTTCTTGAAGAACAACCAGTGACTCCTGTGCAGTCTTCAAATCTATGAGTACATCCTGTGGCAACCCATTAAAGAAAGATATGAATAGTTAACCTGACACTGCTGATGTCATCCTCCCCTGATTTAAAGGAGGAATGAAATGACCGAACTCCATCACTACATGAAAAACTTGTATTTACTACTATATTTCAATGCCAAAGTGTCCACTCACACTCTGTATGAAAAGGAAATGATGTGCAGAATAAAAAAAATGTGTCAAAGTACCTGTACACAGAGGAACAGAAAGAAGTGACTTCGAGCAAGCCTGAGTTACTGATGAGGCAATAACTTTTGAAACAAACCTTTTGAACTTACTGACATGCTGGTCCTAAGCAGTGGCAGCTCTCACTGTGGGTCGATTCACATCTGACTAGACCTCCCTTTTTTTCCTGCTATGAATTACCAGGAGGGATGAAAAAATAACTTTTGTAAATGGCCTAACATAATGGCTAAAGAATGGGAAATGAAGAAATTATTCAAACTGAACAATTTGAATTGCCAGTCCAGATTACTATGGCAGCAAATACCGTAAAAGTTCATCGATGTGTTCATTTTTCTTCTTGCAATTGTTTTGCTTACACTAAGCCAATTACCATTTTAATCTTTTTGTCAATTACACTTAACATTAACTTAAACTCAAAAGAACTAAATGTAACCACAGATAGATAAACTACCCTGCTGCCTTGAGATGTAGTCTTGAAAAAGGAAGAATTTCAAGGTTTCAGAGTGGATGGTGTCTTTCCATAAGGAAGGATAAAGACAGCCCCTGAACATGCACAGTCTCTTCATTCAGAAAGAGCGAACAACCTTGATTGGTGGGAATATAGTCAAAGGATCTTGTATTTCTTTCTATTGCAAGGAACTTCTATGATTCTATGATTCTATGAACTTGACAGATTTGGTAAACATATTTTCCCAAGCAAGAATCCCTTTGATAAGCAGGGACTTAAGACTGAATCATAGAATCATAGAATGTTTTGGGTTGGAAGGGACCTCTAGAGGTCATCTAGTCCAACCCCCCTGCAGTGAGCAGGGACACTGCTAACTAGATCAGATTGCTCAGAGCCCCATCCAACCTGGTCTTGAATGTTTCCAGGGATGGGGCATCTGCAGCCTCTCTGGGCAACCCGTTCCAGTGTTTCACCACCCTCATTGTAAAGAATTTCTTCCTTATATCCAGTCTAAACCTACCCTGTCTTAGTTTAAAGCCATTACCCCTTGTCCTGTCACAGCTGGCCCTACTAAAAAGATTTTCCCCATCTTTCCTATAGGCCCCCTTTAGGTAATGAAAGGCCGCAATCAGGTCTCCCCGCAGCCCTCTCTTCTCCAGGCTGAACAAGCCCAACTCTCTCAGCCTATCCTCATAGGAGAGGTGCTCCAGCCCTCAGAACATTTTTGTAGCCCTCCTCTGGACCTGCTCCAACAGTTCCATGTCCTTCTTGTGCTGAGGGCTCCAGAGCTGGATGCAGTGCTCCATGTGAGGTCTCATCAGAGTGGAGTAGAGGGGCAGAATCACCTCCCTCAACCTGCTGGCCACGCTTCTCCTGATGCAGCCCAGGGTACGGTTGGCCTTCTGGGCTGCCAGCGCACATTGCCGGAATCAAATGATATAATTTATCCACCTTCTCTAGAGACATGACTTCAGATACAAGCTTCTGAAACACCACAACAAGTAATGGAGGGATCACATGAAAAGTATGAGAAACCCATGGGATTTGGGTAGCAGACATAAAGCTGTCTCTTCTGCACCTGAGATACATCAGTAAAAAGAAATGTGTTTGTCTGCAAGTTTCCAAAACACCAAGTATAGAGTTTAGTAATGGAGAGCCTATCGTGATTTTTAGCCACAGAGCTGTGAGAAACTGCAAAGCTTAACTGAACATACATTGCAGTTCTGAATCCAAGTAGTAACTTCATCATCAGCAATGTCTTTGCTGGTAGCAGTCTTCAGGAGTTCATTGGCCTGGTCTTCGCGCTGACGGACTGTGGAAGAACACTGCTGGTAACAGTCCTTGTACCTCTGCCACAGCTGAAGGAGGCCCTTGCTGGCATGCAGCTGCTCTGCAATCTCCTGCAGAAGGTTGTTCCACCTAGTGGAGAGATTGGATGAATGACCGAAGCCTGGGAGTCCACAAGAACTATCCCTGCCCCTCTTCCTCTCTGCTGTTTCCCGTGGTCTTTTGTATTTTAAGAAATTTGGCAATACTCAAGATCCAGACATTTGGGGGGAAGAAAAAAAAAAAGGAATCCAAGAAGAATGTTGGCAGGCTGTTCTGACCTGTCACAGCAGGTCTGATCTGTGCCACATCTTGGCTGCTCTATATTAATGCCTGAGGTCAGAGATGGAGTGTACTTTTTGAAATGAACCTCATGCTGTTTTCACTTAGCACACTTTGGTTCACTGCAGAGAGCATCCATGACCAACCACGAACTGCCAGTACCAGATTCCTGCAAGGACCTAAGAAGCCCAAACCAGGTGTAAACAAGAAACCATTTTTTCTGCTTCAATTTCCTCCAAACCCTGATAGAATATTTAAAGCCATAAAGCTCTGTGTAACTCCCTTCTAAAACTATTTATTTTTATTTTCTAATTAAATATCTGATACCTTTTTGAATTCTTGGCTCTAATGGCAACCATAAACATGTACTTTCTCAGATGTGCTGGTATTTATCAAATTGCCTCATTATTTCCTTACTAAGGGAAATAATAGTATCTTTCAATGATTATTATATAATAAAAATAGTGAAATGAAAATTCCATCAGCCACCACTTAAATCCTACATTATCTTTTCTGAAATGGGGTGGATAATCCCTCCCTCCGCTTCCAGATTCTAGGACAGGATGGACCACAGATTAAAATAAATTTGGCATCATTGTTCTTTCAAAAGAACCCCGTCTTTCCACTAAACTAGTTTTTGCTTTGGGATCCTGCCTTTCTGTACCTTCTCTGAGTAAACCCTTACACTGGTTCTGGCCTGGATTCAAAGTTGGGGAAGCTGTTTGCCAAGCTGCTGGTGAAGATTTAGACTTTCTTGCCTATCACGCCCTTCCTACAAGTAGAAATAGCAACCTAAAATCTGGGGAGCCTGGTGCAAGCATAACTAACAAAATTTTCAGACAGGATTTTTGTATTTTAAGTGCAGTATTATTTTCCAGCCTGGTGTTCATGAATCTTGGTTGGCAGCCATGCATGGAGCAAAACTACTGACAGTAATGTCAAATGCTTTGCTGGAGAAAATAATGTTTCATTTATTAGTAGTAGTAAATGAGACAGTTCTGCTCTGGCTCTTGGCAAAAGGAATAATCCTGCCCACCCTCACAAGCCCTTGCAAATCCCCCCAACCATAAAATATAACAAAACCAGAAATTATGGAAAACTGAGTCAATGGATAAATGCAAATTTATGACTGAAAGTAAAGTTCAACACACAGACATTTTCTACCTCATATTCACTTCTTTCAAAGTGTTGGTAAGTGTTTCAGTCACTGGTGGGTGACATTCTTTCAGAAGTTGATTGGTCACAGAACCAAATTTCTGTAAGCTATTTTCTTGCTTTTCCAATTCATCTTGTAGGCTCTAGAATGGATGGAATAATAATTAGAAAAAAAGATACATGAGGTATTACAATTGCACAATGTAGAAACATTTTAAAATAGTATGTACCAATGACATCATACAGGTTATGAATGCAAAGCTTGATTTCATGTGTGTTTCATCTAAATAGAAGGTTGTTTAATATAAAGACTTTTGTTAGATTCATTTGATTCAATATCAGGGTGTAGCAAAAAGTAAATTTTAACCTAATATTTTCTCAAAATGTAGAAATCTTGTAAAAGAAATTATTCTAAACAAGTACTCTTGCACAGAAGGAGTAAGTGCATGGAACTGCTTCAGAAATTAAAACTTAACGGATGGAAGAAAATAAATGAAATAACATTTTCCTGTTTAGAATGAGATGAAAAAAGTAACAGCACAAAAAGAGCTTTATTCTGAAAATAAAGACTTTGCTCCTTCATTTATCAGTCTGAAGTACTGCTGGTAGGGAAAATGCTCCTTTTTCTTAAACCTTAAATATTTTTATGCATATTTTTATGCATTTATTTTATGCATAGTTTGAACAGCCCAGCAAATCTTGACCTGCTTAAACAGTATAATAAAAACCTTAATAAGCAAAAGAGTGATTTTCTGTACCTATTGTTTTACTGACTCCTCCTCTCTGGCACATAAAAAAATAAAAACATAGGAGAGTGGCTGTAAGGTGCGTTAATGGATGCTCTTTAAATCTTGGTTTGAAAAGTGCTGTTCATGTTACAACAAGTTCTTGTTACTTTAAGCATGTGGAATATTTGCATAATTATTTTTTTATTCCAAAGACACCAACTTTTAATGGTTGGACTTGATGATATTAAAGGTCTTTTCCAACCTAAATGATTCTATGATTCTATGAACTTTTTTTGAAATAAAAGGTTATTCTATGTAACAGAACAATATTTTAAATATTTTTTATTTAATTATTAAAATTAATTTATTTCAATTAATATTAATTTATAATTGTATAACAGGAGTCTCATGTTATGCTTTTCTTACAGTGGAAAAACACTCAGACATGTGAGGATCTCAGCTTTTGGGACATTATTTTCTGTGATCTTCAATCTACTGCACCCACAGGGTTGAGTTGTAGGGGGGTAAGGTTTAAAATGTGATCTCAACATGTGCCAGTAGCTCAGAAGCCTGACCAAGCAGAGTGGGAAACTTTAGTTTTAGTGCTCACCAGCACAATTTAAAACCTTTTAACAACCTGACAGTATGGCTCAAAATTTAAAGAAGAGCATCAAAAATCTAAAAAGAAAACAACTATCGTCATTTTATTTTTCTGCAAAATGAAAAATGATTTGATAATGTGTTCTCTGAATGTCATGTGATCTTAATGTGCCAGTAGGTCTGTACTTCCATTTCTTATGAACCAAAATGTGTAGTTATCTGCATCCGTGCAATGAGGGCAAAGTTAATCCTTAAATCCATCCTTAGTACATTAAGAGGCATGGTATTCCTTTCACCTGAAGTTTATCAACTTGGACTTTCACAGCTTCCAAAGAACCAGTAAGAAGATAAAAACGGGACAAAGAATATCTGGCTTCTGTCAGGTAACTATTCAGTTCTTCATAAACCACTTTGTAAATGCTCCACTGATCAAGAACAGATTGCAACAATATCTTCAGTTGGCTAACCTAGGAGGAAGGAGGAAAAAAAAAAAGTAAATGAAAAGCAGTCAAGATATTTAATTTTTGTTTAAATTATTTCCTTCCTTTTGACCTCAGATACTACTTGTTTTACACACCTAATCTTAAATCTGTTGGAGAATGAAGATTTTGCACAACAATCAGCTGGGCTTACACTGGGTACAGCATAAAGTTCTGCTTGATTTTATAAAGCTAGGATGGCAGGGACTGAGAAGATATTAAGTCCATTCTACCTTGGTCCAAAGCAGGATCAAGAGACATTGCTTAAAACTATGAAACACTATCCCTAAGGCAGGCAAGTCAGCCTATGAAAGTCAGCAGACAGGCTAGCCCTAACACACTGCATTCCTCCTGAGAAGGCAGACTGATCTTATCAAGCTTTGGATGATGACAATTAATGTTGATCTCTTCCTTATTCTGTGAGACCTGTGCGCTTGAAAAGGTAGTTCCTTAGTGATCATTTGGAACCTTTCCACTAAATGTCAGGAAGCATCTAAAAAGTTTGAATTACAAGAATTAAAAGCATTCTTGGAATAGGAAATATTATCCCCATTTTATGTGGAGTCTACACACAAACTTGAGGATGGATGGAAACAAGGACACATTTCAGAATTTCTTCCCCTACAATACAGAAGAATTCCACCAGTTGCAAACTGCTCATTATCCCTCTCCTCCATGCACTATTCCTGGAGCTATAATTTGCCCCTTGATGATTCTTTTACCATGTGATCCAAACTGGCCCAGGAATTGTTAATTTCTTGCAGTGTATTCATAACAGCAGAAGAGACTTCTTCTTTCTTGTTCTGTATCAAAGAAAGACCACTCTGTTCTACATTTTCTACTTCTTTTTCCTTTGCTCTTATTGATTCTTCTAATTCCTGAAAAGAAAAAAAGAGATACCTGAGCATTATTGTTTGTTTAATTGGATAGATAATGCCTTGATATAGAAAAGATGCCCATAAGCTCCTTAGTGTAAAAAACAGGAAAGTCACGCTTGCATACTTTGGCTTTATATTCTCAAGAGAATCATAACTCATCAGCAATTTTATTTAGTATTTTATGTTCTCTTTAAAGCATAATTGTTAGTCTTTATTTTAAATAGAAGCATGTCCTCTACGTTAAACTTCTGTGTAATCTTCTGCGCTCATGTAAGAGTCCAAAACTCATTAAAAATAGGACAGTAGTTTGAATACATGGGAAAAATGTTGTGTCTCTTAGTTTGTCCTAGAACACTGGGAGTCCTTTTTAATTAGTCAAAAGCTGGCTCAAGCCTCTGGAAAAAAATGAGTTTTGCCACCCAAGTAAAAGGACAAAGTGACTTCCTAAGGAAAGATGTCAATTTGCCATGCCTCCCCACATGAAGTGGAGTCTTTATTCCTTTGCCAGGTCCCAGCAAAGCCCCTTGCCCGAGGACAGCGAGCATTCCCCTAGATGACAAGTTCATTGGAGTCCAGCCAATGACAACAAGCAACAGACTGCAGGAATTTTCCTTATTGCCTCCTCAAGGCTGCATGCCTTTGGGAAGCATTAATGAGCTTGATAGCATTTTGCTCTGCTCAGTGTTCCCACACACTAACCCAAGAAAATGGGAAGAAAACGAACGGTTGGCGTGAAAACAAGTGAAGAAAATAGGGCTGAGTACATAAGCACTGAGGCCATGACAACTTCTTAGTGGCTTGTTTTGCTGCTTCAGGCAAGTGCTGACTATGTTGTTGATTTAAGATGACCCTAGATTGGTCATGGAAATGCTCATTCAAAGATTGCCGGTTTTATCATGTTTTATCAATAAGTGATGTGAAGAAGCTCTGGTATGTAACATTGGCTAGTCACAAAGCCTGTGGCCTTCCTCATGCCTCAACAGCACAACAATGAAGTTACAAAATGAAGGAGAGAGAACAGGAAGACTCAGTGAGCAACTGTGAGTTATATAGCACACTTCCATAAGGTCATTCCTAACCGGGAGACTACCTATATAATTTCACGGCATGGTGCAGGGAGATCCAAAGAAGTCCTGCAGTGCTCTGACTCATAAGGAATCTGCGCAGCTTCGGGTAGTACAAATACTGAGCCTGAGCAGAGGGGGAAAGTATGCCTTGTAGGCTTTGGGCCAGCACAAATTTGTGTTTACCTGTCTGAAGATAAAGTAGCCAGTGTGATATGGAAAGCAGACTGTGAGGTGAGAGCAACCTTGGGATGTCTCTACATTAAGTAGTACATCTTGTGATCTCAGGTTATATTTTCATTTTCTGCAAGCCTTTCCTTACTGAGAGAGATGGATCATTGGGGAAAGAAAACAACACAACTAAAATCTGGGCAAACTGAAACCCCATGTCTTTCAATAAATTACTCTCCCTAAGAATCAAAACAACAACAAGAGAAACCATTGCCATAACAGACTTTACATTTTAGATAATGGGGAGAGTATTTGGAACAAAATTCTTCCCAGTCTTGCAAACACTTGCTATTAACAGAATTTATCCCTGCACACATACAACACACCTTTATCTATATACATATATGTGAGAGATTTTTTGCTGTAGTTTATTCTTAGCCTTGTCTTCTGTATTATTGCACTTCTCTTCAAACTTCTAGCCATGACCTTGTTCCAAGCCTTGGAGTAATGCATCATTATTTTTTTTTTTTATCAGCTGACACCAAAGCAAACACCTTTAAGTTGTACATACAGCAAAGTCCACTTTCCAAAAAGTGGACTTTAACACTAAAAAAGGCATTTAAGTTTGTACAAGGTTGCTCCAAAATTCAGAATATAAAACAGACAAAAGTTTCAAACACCAAGAATAGCAAATATTTCTGGTTCACTGTGAAAAGCGGTTTCTTAGTCATCATTTTAAACTCGTAACTTAATTAAAATCACATTACTATTTCTGATCTGTGATGGGAAAAATGGTTGCTTTCACTTATTAATGTGACACTAGGCAGCAACCAACATCAGTTAATAAATAAACCCAGCTTTTGTACTACTTGAACCAGATACCCAGGAGTGTCTGAAACAGTTATTTCTTAAACAGTTTGTTTCTCTGCTGATCAAAGTCTTGCCATTCATAACTGACTCCCCAAGTGTATTTGCTAACTTCCCTGACCAAAAGGAGCCATAAAGGTGATAAATCAGATTCAGCTTTGAACTCTAGCCAAGCACAGCCTGCCGATTATATCAGGCTGTGCTAAATTACCCTTGCTTCAGTTGTATGGGCTTATTGTGCTGAAACCATAAAGATACCTGAATTGAAACTGAGCACTGCAACCAGTCTGAAAATTTAGGTCAAGAACCTAGGAAAAAAAAAATTACTTCTAACATATCCGCCTAAACAACCATTTGCCTTTACAGAAACAAAGATGGGTTTAACACAAGTGTGAATAAAGATTAAATTCTCTTACGCATTTCATTTGAATAGACTTCCAGCTGTTCTGTTTGTGAAAACTTAAGAGCTGGATCATATTTGTTCCATTCATTAAATGCAAGCAGGAAAGACAGCCACACCAAGATAAACATGCTTCCTTACTCTTTATTACGGGGATGAGAACACCAAGATTTAGGGCATGCAGTTGTCCTGACAGAGTTTATTTACACGTTTGATCTGGTGTGTAATTTATTATTTGGTGTCTGGTAGAACAACACACTTTTGAGGAAAAATTATCTGATGCCTGATACCATGTAGAGGCCTTGTTTATAAATGCAGAAAAATCTATTTCGCTTATACACCTATAAGCTTGAACTGTAGCCTGACAGCTCCAGAAGAAGCAAGCTTCTAACTACTTAAATATGTACTATTCTGAGTAAAATGTTCAGAGTCAACTGTGAAGTTGTTGAATGAATGATGAGTTCTTGTATGAATTTCGCATAAAAAACTGAGGTGGTTCTGAACTTATGTGCTTTACGAGCTTTGCCTTGTCCTGTCTTTGCCCATCATAATTATGATTCTTCTTCAGTCTTCTGAAAGCAAACGGGAACCCAGAACTATTTCCTTCTCTGGATAGTTCAACATTTGAAAAAAAATTATTCCTAAAACATTTTTAATAAAAGCATAAAACCTCCTTGGATTCTAGCATTTTTCTTTGAGTAGTCAGGTGGAAAAAGAATAGGAAAAGGAGGGGGGGAGGGGAAGTGGAGAGGTAGTGATAAGGTAGAAAAAACAAGTTTCCGAATAGTCAAGCATGGTGTTCATGACATCAAGTTCCATAAGACTGGCTAAACAGGAATGGGAACTTATTCCTTTGATGGCCTTTCTAGTTCAGTGCACCTGGCATGCTTGGAAATGTCCATGCTTTAATACACAATGCAAAAAGAATAATGACTTTGGCTGCTTTTAAAGAACTTTGTTCCTTCCTCCTTTCTTCTTTCACTCAAGGAATGAAATCTCTCCCTCACTGAAGTAAAGAGGAGTTCTATCACTGACTTCACTGATGTGAAGATTTCACATGGCTTTATCTAGTGTTGTTTCTAACTGTTGGAAAGAGAATAAGGGGACATTACCTGACAGTCTTTCAAAGCATTCTGTACTGAAGCCTGGTCTCCAATTTTCTGTTGCTGTTTCAGCTTCTTCTCTTGAGTTTCAAACCAAGTTCTTAGGCACTGCACATTATTTTCATACTCTGTCCAGGATTCCTGCAGACTTTCCAACATCTGGATCTGCAAAGAAATAGGAATATATACTTTTTCATACAATTACCTTTATTGTTGGGTCAATTAAATAAATCAGTGAAGACCAATGCTGACCACTGCCTTCTCAGAATTCAATGCTTTCAGGATATAAAAAACAGTATATGCATTCGAATTGAAATATATCTGCTATTTGTAAAAGAGTTCATAATTAAAATCCTGCTTTATCCAGAAATAATTATTTGAAGAAAACACTAATATATTATGGCACGCTGAAAGAAGCTAACACTTCAGCAGAACATTTTTATGAAGTGGAATTCTTTTCAGAGATCAAAGACCTCAGAACTTCCCAAATAAAACTAAACGTACAAACATACATTTTATATTCCTTGCTTATAACTGTGTAAAGTAGGTGAAGATTTATATTTTCTCCTTTGTCAATTGACTGCTTTAAGTTACTTAGATTTTTCTGATTGTTCTAGGTTTATTCAATGGCAAATGAAATAGCACTTCTAGTCTTAAAAAAAACCCCAACAAAACAAACAAAAAAAACAAAGCAGAATTTGAAAACAGCAGCACTGCCATAAAAAGCATTTACATTACTTAAGACAAACTCCACTCTAGGGAATGAGCCATCTTAATTAGCTGTAATCTTAATTAGAACTGCTTGAGGATGTGATGGTCCATAGCAGCCTTGGGCACAGTGACAATGAGACAGTTGTGAGTGAAGTAAGGAAAGCAAGTAACAGACTAAAAATCCTTAGAATTGCACATTTTCTTTGTTCAGGTAAGCATGATCCCATGAGAATCTGTACTGAAGAACAAAGGAGTCCAGGAGGTTGGTTGATCTTCAAGAACAACTTCCTCAAGTCACAAAAATGACAAATGCACAGAAAGTGGATTACAAAGAATGGGCCTAGAAGCATGGCCTGGCCATGCAGCGCTGATGTTAGGAAAGCAAAATCTTGGCTGGAACTAACTAGTGAGGGACAGAAGCTCTTCTTGTTACTCTTCACAAGTACATGAGCAACTAGTAGGAAACCACAGAATAGTCTGAGGTACACAGTGCCTTCTTTGCTCCGAACTTACTGACAAGGTCTCCTCTCATGCCTGTCAGGTCTTCATGCCAATTAACAAATTTTGGCATACAGAGGTACATACAGAGGAGGAAAGAATTCAGGGCTACTCAAGTAAGCTGAACATGTGAAAGTCCACTAAACAAGACAGGATGTATCCAAGGGTATTAACGTCATTTCAAGGTTGCTGTCTATCACCTTTAAAATGTCATGACAGTTGGAGGAAGTTTCTAGTGGCTGGAAAAAGGCTATACTGCAAATCCTACCAGAAGCCATTTCCCCATCCACAAAGAACAAGGAGGAGGAACAAGCTTGGTCTTACCAAGAGAAAATTGTGCCTGGCCTCACTTATTGCCTCTGCTATGATGATATGACTGACCCTGTGGACAGGCAGGGAGTAGTAGATGTTGTCTACCTGGACTTTAGCAAGACTTTTGTTATGGTATCCCATAGTACCCTTGTAGTGAAATTGAGGAGGCATGGCCTGGATGGGAGGTCTACAAAGGAATGAACTGACCAGAGTCATCAGACTTAAAGGTTAGTGTTGAACATTTCAATGTTTGTCTGGCAGTCATTCACAAGATGCATCTTCAGAGTTAGTCCTGGGGTTGATGTTATTTAATACCTCCATCAATAAACTAAATGATATGATGGACTGTGGTTCCATCAGATTCACAGGTGACACTGATTTGGGAGAAGTAGTTGATATGCTGGAGAACGGGTCTCCCATTCAGAGAAACCTCAACAAGATGTAGGAATAGACTCATATATCCTCAAGAAATTCAGCAAAGGCAAATGTAAAGTCCTGCACCTGGGACAAAAGGACCTCATGCAACAATATAGGGTAGCAGCAGGCTGGACAGAAGAAAAGTACCTAGGGGCTATGGTGGGCAATAACTTCAACATAATAAATCAACAGTGTGTGTTTCTGCTGATGAAGGTCAACTGCATCCTGGATTAGATTACTGAAAGTGCACCCAATAGGTCAAGAGAAGTGGTTTCCTTCTCCTTGACACTTGTGACCCATTGTGGGTCCTCTAGTGAAAGGAGGGATTGACAAACTGGTGAATGGCCACTAAGGTCATTAGAAGGCTGGAGGCTGGAGCACATACAAGGAGAGGCTTCATTCAGCCTGAGAAAAGAAAGCAAAGGAAGCACCTCATTGTGCTGTCCACTTTTTGTGAGGAGTTATGGAGAAGATGGAGGCAGACTATTCTTGGACACGAGTAATAAAAGGAGAGGTAACAGTCATAAGTTGCAACAAGGGAAATTCTAGTTGGGAACAGGGCAAAAACTTGTCTCCCACAGGAGCGGTTAAGCACAGGAGCAGGCTGCCCAGAGAGGCTGCGGAATCTGTCCTTGTACATTTTCAAAACTCAGCTAAACTAATCCCTGTGCGATCTGATCTAACTGGAAAGTTACTTTTGAGCAGGAGGCTGGACTAGATCATCTGCAGAGGTTTCCAACCATTACTATCTTATAGTTCTCTGTATTTTGAAAGTTTGCTACAGAGCAGCTAGGGGTTTTTTGTTACCTTTTCTGTTATCAGGCCTTGCAGGATTTGCCAACGTCTGTTCATTGCTCCAAGCTGTTCTGCAAAATCAGTTTTGTCGCTTCGTTTACTTTCAACATCCTGGCTGCTGATTTGTAGCACTGATTGGTTCACAAAGTCTACCGTCAATTGTTTGCAATTTAAATCTATTTTGAAGCCCTAGTAGAAAAAAGGGAATAAAAACCCCAAAACATAAGTACCATAATTTCTTATCTTCCTGCAAAAGAGAGGAAAAATGTTCACAAATTACAACTTTACCACAATTTAGCTAAAAGTATTATTTAGCTAAAAGTATTGAGAAATAAACCAGCAACACACTGCCTTTGGAATAAAGAATCTGCCTTCTCTCCTACCTCGGCTCAAAAAAAACCCCAAAAGTCCATAAAATTATTGATCTTGGTCTCAAAGATCAGATTTAAGAAAAACTGGCTATGATCTAGTTAAAGAAGTGAAATTGTCTTACATCTATACTCAACAGTTATCTCAAGATATAGTATCTTTCATTTTTGCTTCAGATTCTGATCAAAATTATCTATCAGTAAACCACTGGCCACCTTTCATTCAAGGACAGGCTACCCTTTGAAGAGAAGGTGATATTATGCAGAGAATTCATAAAACAACATACATAATTTGTAAAGTGCTTTGAGGTTTTGGGCGAATTAATCATGTGCATATTGCTTTGGATTTACGTGGAAATTAAGATAAGCATATTAACAATTATATTCCTGCCATAACTAAACAGCAAAGTAAAAGTAATTTTGGCTTCTTTCCCAAGTATCAAATATTACCTAATGCTAACTTGTGTACAATTCTAACCACCCCACAATGTAAGTTGTTTTTTTTTTTCCCTTAAATCACTTATACCTCATGTATGTATAGATATTTAACGGAGATAATTCAAAAGGGAAGTCAATAGCATTTCCACTCAGTACCTTGTACTTCTGGATGTAATCCTGAATGACTTTCTGCCCTACTACAGTCCATCTGGAGCTGTAGAGATAACAGACTTAAAATGCATGTTGTGAAGAAAATGGATGAGTTCCTTGCTTTGCATTACCATAGCACATTTCCTTTACCCGCTCTTATCATATTATTCTACATCCCTAACATATCACAGAAGTTTATATATATATATAAAAGTAGTAAAAAAATGTTTTAATAGGAGACATATTGTATAACTGCATACATTTTAACAAGAAAATATTATATGAAAAGCTTCTTATTTCCATTCTTCATTGTACAAAGAAACTGGACAAACTCAAATATTCCATTTCTGACTTCCAAAAGGTTCTGCATTCTCATTCCATAATTCTGTATTAGGCTTATATAGAAGATCAACTTTAAGATATGCTTTTCCTGTCCTTGTAAATGGCTAATGACCCAATATTTATATTAGCCCAATGGCTAACCCAATATTTTTATACAACTCTTCTTGTGGTGGCGATTTCTATATGGGCTGATTTTGAATAGAACGTGTTTTGTTTTTTTTTTTTAAAGACTCACTTTCAACCTTTAATAAAGTAGTGCTTGCTTACATTTTTTGTTAGACATATATATTTTGCGTTGCAAGACAGTTCAGAGAACTACTGAATGGCATTATGTTGTTTAATATCGTAGACTCAAGTAACATTTATTACCCATCCTCTCTCCCCCTAAATCATGATGCTGTTAGCAACTCTGAAAGCATTCCAAATTATAAACTGAAGCAATTGCTTAGACCAACCTCCTAGCCAATAAATACTCAGACAACTTTTAGACCAGTATAATTCTTTAACTTCAGTATTATAGCATTAAAAAACCCAAAACTACACAACCAAAACCCTCCTGCTCCTACATACACTAGCAACCTTGCACAATGTTTTTAGATTTATTTTGTCTTGCATAGACTTGAAGCCAGTCTATTCAATTTGAACAAACCACCATCCAAATCTGACTGGCACAGGGGTGTGAACTCCCTTTTTCCAAAAAGCATACCAACATGTTGGAAAAAACCCTCATCTGCTCTTTGGTTGAAATTTAAAAAATGTAACTGTGAAAATTTGACATTGACATGAATTGGTGTTAGGCAATGGGTAGACAGGATTTGGACATGAGTGTAAGATTCCCACATTAAAACAGAAGTAACATTCCTGTCTTGCCTCACATGGATAAATTGAGGAAGGGAGCAACTCTGTCTCAAAGGCAGTGACAACGGTATGGACTGCATTTTCCGGAATATCGAAGGCCATCATTGGCCTTCCTTACCTGGTGCAATTTCTCCTGTACTGTTGGGATTTGTGTGAGCAGCTCTGTCCACTGACTGTCAATATGAGACAATCCCGCACGCAATGCTGCTGTATCCACCTTCTTCAGCCTGAGGAGCTGGTTCCCGGTACTCAGGACAGAAGACTTCTGTGATGATTTAGCATCCACTTCTTTGGAGAACTCCTGTAAGCAGAATCATTTTTGTGGAAATAATCAACTACTTGTTTACTGTACTTAAAGCTTTACCTCAGAAAGCTTCCCTTTAAAAACATGTACTTTCTATTAGTGTTTACCAGCTATACTTCAGACCAAGTGAGAACAAAAATTGTTTTCAGCCATAAAACCATTTTCTGTTTTCAGGTCATCAAGCTTTACAATCATTGCATATAGCAAAGGAGTGCTGAATGTGCAAACACTGTTTTTTTTTGAAGGACAGTTCACCTAAAGAAGCAGATTTTTGGTTTTTTGCATACTCTCTACTTTGACAATGAGAAAAAGTATAACCATATGATTGCTCAACTGTTTATGTGTAATTGGAGAGAAAAAGGTGTCCTAGGTCCATGAATGACTTACCAAAAAGGCGTTCAGGTGGTCTCGGACTGTTTCCAGTTCCTGAGGAACTGTCAAAGACTGCTGACTCCAAAACTCAAGTCGCTCCTTTGCAGATTGTAACCAATGTGTAAGTTCACTTGATTCACTTTGATATCTGTAAAGAGGATTAAAGAAAACTAAAACAGCCATTGACACTTCTTCCCTCCAACTTAGTCTCTCCTCCATGTGTTAGAAGATACTGTAGCCAGATTTAAAACAAAAATATTTTCTTTCCTTCATTAAATTTCAGAAAAATGTGATTTAATTTTAAAGGCAGGCATGGTATCAGGAAGCTCTTTATTTTAGCCATTACACCCACAATTCCTAACAGTGCCTTCTTCTCGCTCCTTAAGAAAAACTAAGTTTAATGAAAGACTAGTAAATGAGTTACTGATCTATTTGCTGCAACAGCACCCCACCTCACACACATAAACACATTTTTCATTTCCATTAGAAGGCTCAATCTTCCAAAAGCTTTACCACAAGGTGTCTCAGAGCAGAAACTTGATGTTTTTTTCAGAAACTATCTCCATATCATTTCATATGCCAAGGAAATAACGAGATGTCAGAATGAGAGTGTCTCTCATAACCTTTATACCATATAACCTTTATACATGCAATCCCTTCATGTATCTCTCTTGAAGGGCTAGTGAGCCGAAAAGCCAGGGATATTATGAATAATGGACAAAGCTTGTATATCACTTAAAGAATTTATTTCAAAAGTAGCATATGAACATTACTAAAGGCAACTAAAAGCTCCCTTACAGATACGCAATGACACGGACCCAGAAGAACCCAGCAGGGCAATGCCCCTACCAGACCATGCTGAGGCTACACACGCTACCCAGCAAAGCACACACCCTTTCTCATCAACCTGTATGGACATGGGGCTTCTAACTTAATAACCTAAATAAGGTATTTTCTGACATCCTTGCACCAGCTGTTATCTGGTACACGTTTTATTGCAAATGAGAGAGTATGATAGCACTTGTATGGAACAGAAGTAGGGTACTGTAGAGTAGTCAAACTATTACATACATCTCAAAGTAGTCCTTTTAAATGTCGAATCTAATAGTTCTGGGTTCAGAATGACTTTGACCTGAACAGCACAGGCGAAGAAATTTATACTGTCCAGTACATCAGCATTACCTTGTCCAGTGCTTCAGTATTGTCTCCAGCCTGTGAAGCTCCTTGGTAACCTTGCTGGTGTTACTTAACCAGTGTTCTCCTAGTTGGTTCAGTTGACTTTCGAGATCTGAGCAGCTAACAGAAAAAAGGAGCCTTTTCCCATCATCTAGCACTTGGTATAATTTAGGTTGGTATTCAGTCAGGTTAGATCTCAGATGCTGTAATGACAGAGGAGATGGTTAGATAGCTCTGCAGGTCTCTGCTACCACATTTTCTCAACATTTAGTTTTCTTTTATTGCATTTTGTAGCATATCCAATGTCACCATGGCACATCGCATTTTTTCCATCTGCTCCAGCTCTAGAACTCCCTGAGAACCATCACGCAGGTAACCTGATCAAAATCTGAACATGCTGCTGCAAAACCTCTCACTTCAATATGTCTGTTGACACCTCCTTCAGATGAACAACTCCTTGGTGTAGGTATTTTACACTTGAAAAGAACAATTTCAAAAGAATCTTTGTGGGGCAACACCATTTCTGAGAGAAATTGATCAATCTGTCAGAACTTAATCTACCATCTGCTAAAAACCCTACTGCAATGAAAGTTAAAGGTGTCCAATATCAAGTTATTAACAGTGGCCACACTTCAGCCCTTTCAGTGCCTATCTTCAGCTCTCTGTTCATCTGACTCTTCTTTTGCTGATCTACTCTCCTGCTATCCATGACTACAAAAAAGATTACCCTCCCCCTGCCCCCGCCAAATCCCTGAACACAGAAGCCAATTGTTAAGTAAAAAGAAAGCAAAAAATGTACTGAAAAAGGGAAGGCTGTTAATACTCCTACCGTGAATCCAACCAGGAGCAGAGGCAGATTTCATTTAAATGCTGACTTGTGGATGGGTAATGAATTTGTATATGCGGGCAAATATACCTGCCAAATTCCACTATCATTACACAAATAGTAAAGATTTTTAAAACATCTATATATTTGACTAAGCTTGAGCACAAAATGTACATGCATTCCTATTTTTCAGTTATGCTGAAACTAATCTGAATATAAAGGGTACAGAACTAGCAGTCTCATTGTGGGTACATAAAATTTCTATCTCTCTTCTTATTTTCACTTTCACATAAATAGAGCTCTAATAACAGGATTTTTATATTTATATATGTGCATGTCTGTGTGTGTACTTACATATAACATATATATACAAATAAATGTGTAACTCCTAGAGAGTAGCATAAAAAATTCCAAGATAGCTATAAATTAATTATGATGGATTTTTAATCTAAATGTGGTCACAGGGAGAGAAAAAAAGGTATTAAAAATTATGCCATAGTGGAGTCCGAGAAATCTGGATTTGAATAACCTAATTTATGTAACTGACACAAGAAACAAAAGAGGAAAACTAATTTAGGGTCAGGACCAACACAAACAATGCCTAGCATTAAACAAAACCAAAATAAAACTCACATACAACAGATTGCTTAACTTCTCATACCATTGCAGAAGCAGAAATCTGTCTAGTAAAAGAACAATACACATAACAAATTCATACAAGACAAGAAGTCAATTTGCAAGAAAAAATTGGCAGACATTTTTCTGTAAAACAAAAAAAAAAAACCAACCAAAGTGACTGGTGTATAATAAGACAAAGACAAAGCACTAGACCAGAATTCTCATTTTAAGAAATAACAGGATGTGGTAGAAAACCTATATTTAAACTAGTAGTTGGTTTTGCATTTGAGAAGCAGGAAGGCAACTCAGAGAACTGCAGGTTGTTCAGCCTCACCTTGCTCTCTGGAAAGATTATGGAGCACATCCCCTTGGAATCCATTTTCAAGGACAAAACAGACCAAAAGGTAATCAAGAATATTCAGTTTGGATTCACTAACTTGACAGCCTTTTATGACAAAATTACTGTCTCTGTGGATGAGACTGACTTTAGTATGGTCTTTGACACCATCTCCCACAGGACCCTCCTCTGGAAGTGGAAAGAATGTGGGCTGGATAAATGGACTGTTACATGGGTTGAAAACTAGCTGCAATACCAGTCTCAAACACTAGTGATCAAAGGCTCCATGTCTGGCTGGCATACTATAATGGGTAGAGTACTCCTGGGATTGTTGATGTTTGAGCCCAAACATCTTCAACATCTTCATTAATGTCATGGATGATGATAGACAGTGCTCCCTTAGTAAATTTGTGGATGACACTAACATAGGGAGAGTGGTTGCCACAAAAAATGGCAGACTTAGTCCAGAGACATTTTGATAAACTTGAGGTTGGAAGCAGCAGAAACATTCAGAGGCTCAACAAAAGGTGTAAATTCTGTGCCTTGAGCAGAATAATCCTGTTTCTCAGTACAGGCTAGGAAGGGAATGGCTACTGTATTTAACCTGGCATGTTCCATACCCAAGACGTCGTGAATAAGGCAAGCCACAACACTGGCCTACATAAGGACTGTGAACAACTGGCTTCAGTTATTTTATTATCCCCATCTATACAGTGCTGATGAGGCCACATCTAGTGCATCTGATTCTGCCCTGCCCCCACCTCCCACCAAGTTCAAGAAGAAGGAAGTAGTCAGGGTCTGGTGTAGAGCTGTTAAGATGTTTAGGGACCTAGAGCACATGTCCTGTAAAAAGAGGCTGAGGGAATTGTGCTTGTTTTGGATTAACAAACAGGAGGCTAAGGGCTAGTCTAACAAAAGCCCACAACTATTTGAATTACAATTGAAAAGATTATAGAGGTAAATGCTCCTCAGTAGTTTCACACAATATAAAAAGGACAATGGTGACAAGCTGAAAGTTGAAGGTTTAGATTGGGCGTTATAGAAAACCCTTTCAGTAGGAGGTGGTGCAGCATTTGCAATTAGTCCCCAGCTCAGCTGTGGGATTTCCATCTTTCGAGCTTTCCAACACTGTGGCCAATCCAGCCCATGGCAACTGTACTCCTTCAAGTGGGAGGCTGGGCTAGATGACTTTCAGAGGTCCCTTTCATCCAACCTTTCCATAATGAATGTCTAAAAAGCACCAACCTGAAAAAGCGCAATCCGGTCTGTAAGCCTGTCTTCTGTCTCTTCCACCAAACCAACTATAGGGATGCTACCTTCAACAGACTCCAGCTGTCTGGTAAGTTCCTGGTAATCTTCATCCAGATGCATCCAGGTCTGCAAGCACAAATTATCCATGTATACAGTGAATATTGATCTGGGTATCTAGAATTTTTATTACTTTCTCAGTCTGAAATCCTATAGCTGCATCATTGTGAATGTACAGAAATAACAGTACAAATGTCCACTGAACCTATAATAAGACAGCGTTAAACTCAGCTTTTAGTTAGAACACATGGATAAACCTGTCATGTTCTCCTTGTCAGGTAAAGCTAAGCAGCTCTTTTAAATTTAGAGGAACACAACTTGTATCGCCTGAAGGTCCCAACAGTTAAATAGCAAAGATTATCAGTGCCTTGTGTGTATGACAAAAGGGACTGATGTCCATCAATTCTGTCCAAGCACAGGAAATCAACATTACAGAATATCCTCGTGGTTGATCACAATGGTAGTATAGAAAAGACCACGGAAATTCTCACCTCTAGAATGTATTCCAGCTCCACACCTCGTTTATGAGCCAGCTTCAACACAGCTGAAGCTTGTGTCATTAGCTCTGAATGTGACTGAGTTTCCTTCAAGAGGGCAAGGCTACTCATCTTTCTAAAGAGTGTTTCTGTCAGGATCATGTGAGACTCCAACCCCTGAAAATATTCCTGAGAAATTTGGGTGTGAGGGAGAGGGTAGAGAAGAGAAAAAAGAAAGTGCAATTGTTAATCAATTCATTACCACTAAAACAACATTTTAAGACAATAGCAGTGCAATCAAGTCGTTGTAGACACCAATATTTCACAAAATACAACACCCAATATAAAAAGGACAACAGCCTTTTTAAAGAAAGAAAGAGATCATTCTTTCTGTGCAAATGCTATCCCAACTCTCATTCCATAAATGAAAATAGCTTAAATCAGATACACACCACCAAAAAATTCTGCCTAATAAAAAAATGTGGAAAAGTCTTATTATGTTTTGTGGGTGCTATTAGCAAATATAAGTTTCTGTTGGAAAAAAAATGGAGTAGTGGATGAAATTACTATGTAGCATGACAAGACAAGAACAGGAACTTGTTATCAGAATGAGGGAGGAAATGGGTTCACCTTCAATAGAGCATTTGAAAGTTATTCAGTAAGAACAGTTCATTGATTCCAATTTGAAACACAGTAAGCTCCCGAACCTCTAGGAACAGAAGGTTAGCAATTTTTTGTGTACAAGCCTACAGTCATGATTAGTCCTGAAACATGTGTTCCAGTTTCTCACCTTATGTTTGTCAAGTAGCGATCGAACCTCTTCTTTAGAAGCAACAATCATTTTCTGGTCACCAGCCATCTTTTCTTGACCCGTTTCTAACAGGTCAGCCAGGTCCTGCAAAGCCCGTTCATATTGCCTCTTAAGAGCCAGATTCTGATTCAGGTCGCTCCGTCTGGATCCAATTATCATCATCAGCTCATCATACATATCCTTGGGAGCAAAGAGTAGCAATGGTAATTCTTAGTTCACACCTTACACGTCTTCCTATATGCAACCTTACTGTCCCTGTATTTCCCCTGTGAATATTAGCAGAATAACATCTATTCCCAGCTCAAAAACACTGTGCAGATATACTGACTTAACTGATAAATTAACAACTCACCGTTTAAAGAGAGAAAAAATAATCAAGACCTACAAGTCTTTCAAGTGCATGCATTCGGGAACAAGGTTAGTGGAATCCCAAAGGCTTGCTTTAAGTAGAAAAGGAGTAGTGTGATTGGGCTTAAGTCATCAAAATCCAGACTACTGTGGCTACTGCACACTGCGGATGCTGTTTACATTTTGCTTCTTATAATGCAGGGGGTTGGACGGACTCCATCATGGCTACAGACTACAGGCATCTCAAAACCAGATTTGTCGCCTTCTCCTGTGCCAGCAGCTTACTGGTAGCAAGCAAGATACATACAACCCATAGTAAAAACCAAACAAGGCCCAAAATAGCAATATACTCTATATAGAACAGTAAAGTGTAGAGAAGGTGCAGTGTGTATTTCACAGTGTGCCCATACTGCCAAATAACAAAACTAGCCAAAAGGAAGAATCTCATCAGGTCCTGTGAGCTATTACTCATCCTGTATACCTCAACCATAAAAGTGAGAACAACCTGCAGATGCTTTTCTTCACCTGAACAGGATTATTCTCTCATTTGGGTTTTGAAAGTTGTATTCTCAGAACATATATCTGACCGTGAGGATAAGCCCATTGATCAAGACAAGACATCCGGAAATTAGTAAACCAAAATATCTCTATGACCATCCAGTGCTACAGCAAAGTATCCGTGCTCAGACTGCAGCTGGCTCTCCTGGATTTAAAGAGACAATTGCCTCAGAAGAAGAAGCCCAACTGTCAAAGAAGGAAAGGGAAGGGTTTTCTTAAAACTGAAATCAAGGGGAGGGGGATATCTACACATGACCTGACAGAAAAAAAAAAAAAGCAGGAGGCTCTAAGACCAAAAGGATAAAGAACTGGGCAAAAGACACATTTGCACAAACCCTTTGTCATTTGTTTTTAATTAAGATCACTCTTTTGTTGGCTTAAGTTTATGGTCCAGTTTCAACTTTTTTCTTTGCTTCCAATTTATCATTATGTCATTACAAAGGGTAAAATTCAGTCGTAAACCTTCTCCTTGATCTCCTTGATCTCCTTAAGCTGCCTCAGCACCAAACTGCTCACAAAGGGGTTTCAACAGCCCTATAAAGGTTCTGGATTAATTGCCCACATGTATCTACTTTAGAGAGCCTTAAGAGTCCTACAACTTAGGTGTGTTGAAGTCTGACTGAAAGCACGCAGGAACGTGAGAGATGTTCTAGTAAAAGAAGAACATTTCCAGTTTCAGGTCACGCTTAACTATCTATCCCCTTTCACCCCTCTCCCCTTTTTTTTTTTTTTTTAATGACAGATGTGAGAGAACTAAACGCCAGATCATGAGACACTGGTGAGAACAGGGCTCAGCCTCCAACATTTATGCAAACGTTTATGTTTACATGCTTAACTTCACCTATTTGAACAGGGGCTCAAAACAAGAGCTGAAAAAAAACATGTTTTTGTGTGGTTTTATGATTAACACTACTAATAATAGAGTCATCAGAAAATCTGGAAATGCAAAAATAGAAAAACTAAGTGAATGAGGGAGAAAATAATCTCTTACACACACTGAAATTATTTTAAATACACTTTCCTAAACTGCCTTATGAACAATAAAAAGGAGCATACTAATACCTTTGATATCACCAGACTGGTCTAGGATGGAACTTAAGAACCATACCTGGATCTTAGACAGCTCTTGCATAGAAGGTTGGTCAATCTGTAGCTTGTCTACATGCTTCTTTAATTCATTGATTCCAGTATCTAGTTCTTTCAAACCTTCTTCTGCTTGCAGTATGACCTGTATTTGAAAATGACATCATTTAGTTTGAAGGCTTAATAACAATACTGTAGCTGCCATATGGTAATATTATTTTCTGTTTTCTGCCTGAAGTATTAATCAGTCCTTCTGTCTGCTGAAATTTTAAAGGATATAACAAAGAAAAACTATTAATTCAAAGTTGAGAGATGCCAGCTTGTTTGTTGAAGTTAAGTACAATAAGGTATTATTATTTTTTTAATATTAAACTGGTTTAGTATTATACACTATTTCATACAAAACCTTGCTGTGAAGTTCCACACATTTAATTCTATGGTACAGGTATGAAAGGACTAACAGTTGTTCTAACACCTTCTTTTAAACCATTCTTTTTATTAACACTCATTCCTGTCACTCCAGCATCAAGCAAACAACCATCACAGCAAAAGACATGCATGATAGCGAAGAGCTATGCACAGTTCCCTTACAGGACCAGGACAGGGCCAAAATTACTGTCAGGGAAAAGGACTTGTACATCCCCTTTTGTACTTGGAAAATGACAACTGAAAGCACACAGGATGGTATTTGCAAGTCTATGCAGGTGATAATTTGACTTTTTTCAATGGAAGCTACAAGAAACAAAGTCTTTCAACCTAGGAGACTCTACTGAATTAATGCATGCAAGCTATAACAAAGTTAAAAGCACAGGGTAGACTCCTGTAGTTAAAAGTCCTTTGTTAAGGCCCTTTCTTGGAAACTGTATATCCAAATGTTTAAACTATATATGTTAGTAGAACTCCTGACTGCAAAGTATGCATAATACAGCCACTAAACTTACACTTCATGCAGCTAAGTTACCTGGCTGATTAAGGGCCTTATTTCTACTTTCGCAATCATGACTTGAACAAGCAGAAATGCTTTTAAATTTGAATGTTTTATGAGCCAAGGCAGATGTTCAGAAAAAAATCAATTCAGTTGTTTTTGTTACCATGTCATTTTCCTATTTGGTAGTTAAAATAGACACATAGGAGCTAAATTATTACCAGTCTTTTGCATCATGGAAGATAGGAAAGAAAGACACAGACCACCAGCTCTTTTGCTCGTACATGAAATAAAATTTCTTCAAAATTTGATTATCAGATATATAAAGGCCAGTATTTCTGTTTAGCTGAAGGGCAAGTCTATTCCTCTCCGTCACCTGCTGGAAGCAGACAACTGTAGCTCTTGGGTAGCAAGAAACATCTGTAGAAAGTAGCCCTTAACATACTTCATTCACTTTTCTCTTTGGCAAAATAGAAACAAGGAAATAGGATGTATTTTGTCATATTATTAATTAATTATTCATCATATTAATTAATTATTTGTCAGACAATGCCTGATAAAGAAAAAACTATTACTGCCTTAAATTAAAATGAATAACAGCCAAGATATTACTAAAACCCATGCAGAAGAAAGTTCCTTTGCTTTTTAATAAAGTGTAATAGCCAAACAATTTAACCAAATTTTAGACATTTTTTGGTTCATTGAAGTTTTCTTTCTTTCAAATAGTGCCCAGTATGTGCATAACTAGGTCAACTGGGGAGATAAGAAAGACACTCTGTGTTTGTTTTTTTTTAATTTATAAACGTGTAGTACACTCTTGGAAGTACTTATTTGCACATACTTCTGTGAATACATACATTCTCCCATAAAAAGCAACTGTTCTCTATAATCCAGTTATACTTTGAATAGAAACTTTATATCTTCCCTCCTCCCTGCCCAAGTAATAGATATTTGGTAATACCTGCATTTGTTCTGTTTCTGGTCTCTCAGCTGCCTCTGCTAGTTTCTGTAGAACTAAATATTTGTTATCAGCCACCGATGTAAACAGGAGCTTCAGGTCATTCTACAGGAAAAAAACAACAACAAATTGTAGCCAATCACAGGACAAACCAACTGAAAAATATTTTATGTTCCAAAAAGTAGAAAGCATTACAATGTTACAATGTCTGCACTAAGGCATAAAGACTATTCAACATTGGAAGCACCATAATTATCCAATGCAAAACACGCAACTGCTGAAAATCCATAACTGGATATATATGAGCAAAAAACTAAACCAACTGCTATTAAAACATAGCCTGTGAACATATTCCTGTTGGTTTTTTTTTTTCCTGATAATTATTTAGCAAGGGTCGGTTAGCTTCATTAACAAAAAAGACATTATTCTTGTGTAGTTTAGTCAATGATTTATGCTCATAAACAAGCTAGGTTTTACTTTTTAGGCATGCCTTTTTCATTACAAACTTTAGCAAATATAACTAAAAGGTAAAAAAAGGCTTCAACACATTATAGGGCTAAGTACACATTACAACTTTTAGATTACCTTATCAGACTAGACACATACATGTTAACAATTTTGCCAAGCTGCAATAATTTTTTTTTCATGCATTCATCCCCAGAACCCCATGATTTTGGTAAAATAGAAAATAATCAGTACATTTCTCTAAGACTTAGCATTATATAGGAGTGTGTTTCTGATTTTTTTTTTTTTTTTGCATGCAGTAATTCTTTAAATATGAAATAACTCTGGTATAACAATAAGGCACAGGGTTCTAATCAGGAAGGCCTTTTACTGAAAACTATTGGAATTTTTTTTTTTCCTATTGATAGACAAAAGGTTATGGAGCTTGGAAAGAAATTCTGTAGTAACAAGCTATGAAACAATGTTCCTAATCTAAAAACACCAGCAATCTATTTTCCAATTTTTTTTTTGCTAGAATTTATGGTTTTTTCATTAATACTAAATCACACTGGAGACTTTATATGATAAGAATTGGAGAGAAGGTAGAGATCAAGTAAGGTCTAAAAGCATTTCTGAACTCTGAAAAGATTTCTAAAAGTGAACATTTCTCCACTTCTCTTCATTTTTTCTGCTTTGCTCAGTACAGACAGCTTGAGATACAAGCTCTTATAGAGTAATGGGATGGCTTAAAAGTGATCAGAAAGGTGCAGCTAATGAAAACAGTGTACTCTAACATTTATGATATAAAATGTGTAGAGTGGAACGCCAAAGTTGCTTTTTTCTCCTTTGAGAACAGTAGTCAACAAGTTCCATTTATTGCACTGTCAGCAGGGTGAGAAAGTGTGGGATAGATGATCACTTTACAATAATTGCATGAGTTGCAGAAAGCTGCTAGCAGAGAGTTTAAATTCTGGATCATGATTTGGGCACCAAGTTTTGCCTATCCTAAGGAGAAGTTTGAATTTCAGTAAAACCCTATGAAAACTTGTTCTCTTGATTTGGTACCAAAATTCTCATTGCTTTGAGAATTATATCCTTTATATCCACATTTGACATGTACCCTGTTAATTCCTTCAGATGGGCATCATACCTTGAAAGTCGCTATTTGCTGGAGCCTTTCTTTCATCTGATGGCACCTTTGGTTAACTACTGACTCCAGTAAGGTCAGTCTTCTCAAGAGACAATCCAAAGTGTCTGCTATAATATCCTTATTATCACCATTCTCAGGAAAGAGCTGAGCAAACAGATTCTTGTTCTTATGCATTTCTTCTGTTATCTCTTTGATTTCCTTGGCAAGAGACTGGTTTTGTAGAAAACAAAACAAAGTGAGAATTAGACATTCTAGAAAGGAGGCAAACATGTTGCCATAACCGTTGCCAATTTTGCAGCGATGCAGTGACTTTTTACATTGTTAATACACACACATTAGACAAAGTTATGCAGCTACAGTATTTCCAGTAATAAAAAAAAACCCAGACTGTTCTGAGAAAAACAAATGCTGAAACAAAATAAACCTGCCTGAATAAGGGCTTAGGTGAAGCAGAAATCCATGTAGCTGCTGAAAGTCTTTTCTCTCCCCTCCCCCCTCCCTTCCTGTCTCTCTCCCTCTCCATTTCATGTTGATGAATTTGTACTGTTTCCATATCCCAGAGCATTCCTCCCTCTTTGCCACTTCATTTCATTTTCAACACTGTGGTGTTTGCTAACACTCAGCAAAGAATTTAAATGGAAGAAAGACTCTGTGTTTAATTCTATTCTGACCAGGCAATATTCGGGTCAGGTGCTGCTTTCTGCAACATTCTTGTGCTGGGTTTGCATGGCAAGGTTTTGGTAGCGGGGGGGGCTGAACGGGTGGCTTCTGTGAGAAGCTTCCAGAAGCTTACCCCATGTCCAACAGAGCCAATACCAGCCGGCTCCAAGATGGACCCGCTGGTGGCCAAGGCCAAGCCCATCAGCGATGGTGGTAATGACTCTGGGATAACATAGTTAAGAAGGGGGAGAAAAAACTGCACAACTGCAGCCAGAGAGAGGAGTGAGAATCTGTGAGAGGAGCAGCCCTGCAGACCCCCAGTCCAGTGACGCAAGAGGGGCAGGAGGGGCTCCAGGCGCCGGAGCAGAGATCCCCCTGCAGCCCCTGGTACAGCCCATGGTGGGGCAGGCTGTCCCCCTGCAGCCCAGGACGATGGAGTAGGCTCCTGGCAGGACCTGTGGCCCCGTGGGGAGAGGAGCCCAGGCTGGAGCAGGTTTGCTGGCCGGGCTGGCGACCCTGTGGGGGACCCACGCTGGAGGAGTCTGTGCCTGAGGGACTGCACCCCATGGAAAGGATGGACCCGCACTGGAGCAGTTTGTGAAGAACTGTAGCCCATGGGAATGAATCAAGTTAGAGAATTTCACGGAGGACTGTCTCCCATGGGAGTGTGAGGAGTCCTCCCCCCGAGGAGGAAGGAGTGGCAGAGACAGCATGTGATGAACTGACCCCAACCCCCCTTCCCTGTCCCCGTGTGCCGGTCAGGGGGAGGAGGTAGAGAAATCAGGAGTGAAGTTGATCCTCAGAAGAAGGGAGGAGTGGGAGGAAGGTGCTTTAAAATTTAGGGTTTATTTCTCATTATCCTATTCTGATTTGATTGGTAATAAATTAAACTAATTTCCCCAAGTCGAGTCTGTTTTGCCCATGATGGTAGTTGCTGGGTGATCTCTCCCTGTCCTTATCTCAACCCACAAGCCTTTCATTACATTTTCTCTCCCCTGTCCATCTTAGGTGGGGGAGTCAGAGAGAGGCTTTGGTGTGCACCTGGCATCCAGCCAGGGTCAACTCGCCACAATTCTCTACACAGTGAATACAGTTACTTCTAAACAGTAGCAGTATACTGCAATTACATAGAGATTACGACAGCGACACGTCTCTTATCTAGGATTCTAATATTTTCTTTCTAAACACTATATAAAATGCACCCTTATTGTAATTTAAAGAAAGTCCTGTTCATGCATTCCTTACCTCTTGCTTGCAGAGGTATGTTTCTGTTTCTTCCTCTGGCAACAGAGCTGTAGCAACAAAGACCTGTTCTTCCATACGATCCAGCCACAAGGAGGTGGCTGTGACACCATCATACAGCTTCTGTTCAAGATGCAAGCTCTCCTCCACCCATCCAGCCTGGGCAAAAGGAACCAGAGAAGTTGAGAGCAGAAGTACAAGATACTCTTTCTAACATTTAATATTTGGGAAAGGGATGGATTTCCAGGTGGAAGCTAAAGGAGTTTTCATTGTAAATGTGGCTCTGCTGGAAGACAGATGTATAGACAATTGAAATGTTACCTCAGATGATGCATCTTCAAAGGCCTGATTCAATTCAACCAATACTGGTGACATGGAGGATTTATCCTCATCCTGTCCTTCCTCCTTATACAAAGGCATTCCAGATAGCAGTCTGTTTGGTCTGCTATAAAGCTGCTGAGAAAGAAGTATTAATTAGAGTGCTTCTACCACTCATATAAAGCACAAAATTCAGCTATACAGATTCTACTGCTGACTGAGGATATCACCAAATAGTGCTCATGGCCCTTCCATGACTGTTCTGTCACAAATATCTTGAACAAAAGGTTGCTTAACAGGAAATTCACTAGAAGTGCAGAATAAACACTTGTGTCCATAATTAGCAATGACTTGTTTTTACCAAAAAAATAATTAATTACTGTGAAATGAATACAAGATATTTAGAACTTTGGAAGCTGATTTTAATGTAGCATTATATAAAGAATAGCAGGCCTGTGTCTATTAAAAATAAAACAGAGGATGTATGTTAATATAGGTCTTGGACTGTTCCCAATTTAGTTGATTAATCCCTGCTTCTTTCATTAAAAAGTCTGTGGCTGAAATTACCTCCTGCTTTGCCACATACCCACTAAGAACTGAGTGTAGCCAATAATTCAAACTGAAAATACCATTCTTTCCTCTAAGTTGTTGCTAGAATACTGATCGATTTCAGAGGGACAATTCATTAAAGAATTATCCTGGGTTAGATAAGTAGATCAAAATTTAGTCTGAGCCCTTTCTCCCTTTCTAGCTTATTCCCCTAAATGGCAGTGCAACTGAAATCACCAGAGCAGTTCTAGTGCCAATACTTAATAGTTTTTAGAGATGTCACAAAAATAAACTGTTCCATATTCTTTGCATTAACTACATCACCTTAATGCATCTGCTATGCACATACTGTACCTCATGTTATGACAACTGCTTTCATGGAGAAAATGCAAAGAGAAATTAAAAATAGCTACCAGCTGTTCTTGTTCCAAAGCTTTCTGGAGCAGTCTCTGCTTGGTATTGAATTCCTGGTTCAGGCTTTCCCATTTCATCTTCATCTGTTCTTCAGATGATGGCTTCTCACCTTCCAAGCATAATTCCTCAGAGAGCATATCAGGCTTCTCACTGAATGGCAAGATGCATAAAGGTTTAACAAATACAAATGTTATAACAGCATAAGGGGTTTATTTCCTCTTTCAATTAGGAAATACTAATTTAGATTGCTACTTTTTGAAGCTTTTACTTGGTGGTTTGGTTTTGGTTTTTTTTTTTTTTCAGATAGTAAGATGAAGGCTGGTTTGTAACTGCAAGAAGCTCTTGACTGATGGGATAAATATACTTTCTAAGAAACTGTTTAGACTTGCAAGTACCCATACTGAGTAAGAATACCCAAACCAGACTGAATATGTACTAGATTGAAATGTAACCTTTTAAATGCTAAAGGTGATCTAATAGCACAAAACAGTTCGTGTAACTATATTATCAGACTCCTGAATTATAAACCAGGACACTCCAGTATCCTAGGTGCTGTATAAAATTGATAAAACAATAATTGGTGGACTATATGCAGAAGAGGTGTGTAAACATAAGGATGACAAAGCACAGAGTCATAGAAATTTACTTCACAGAACACATGAAAGCACACCTTATACATAGGCCTTCTGGAGCACCTTGCTGTGTTAGGATTTCTTCTCCACGGCATGCTACTGACCGAAGCAGATTCTTCTGCTCTTCTAGCTCTTGTTCCAGCTCCTAGCATAGCAAGTTACAAAAACGGAAACAAACCTCAAACAGATTGTTTTTGTCTTGGAAGGATATGTCCATATTGCATAACTGTCATGCAAAGATAGCTGAGCTATTTCTGATATGTCTTGCTTGAGCACCAAAAGCAATGCAAAAACTCTACCCAGGGACAGAAATATTTGGTACATAAACTGGGTTGTTGAACTAATTAACTAATGCAATGCAGTTTCTGGAACCTAACCTAGTGAGGATGTCTGTGTATCATGCACACAATATAGCTTGTAATGTATGTATATTTCCTTCTATAAAGACAATGTTGATTACTATTTTGAACAAATACCGTCATCTCCTTAAAGTAACTTTAAGGGTTGATTTAATTTAATTTTACTAAGGGACAATGGAAGTCAGTTGACCATGGTCATCTAGGAAGTCTAGCCTGCTTCGCTGTTAACAGATATAAAACAGTGAGCTCAGATGCATCCTTATAAGAGCACTGAGTAAGAAGTGGTGTAAAAATGAAGATTTCAGTGGAAATATTAACAAGAATGGCTCAGCTATCGTCTTAAGCACAATCCAAAGATGGGAGTAAAAGAAATGCAAAACACCAACTTTCTGTTGCTGCAGGGTGCTCTGCTGCTGTTGTGAGCGAGTGGTTCTTGCTTGTGCCAGCCATTCCTGGACACTGGGGCTTTGTGAGGAAACAAAGTCCAGATCACTCTCCTCCTTTTCTTGTAATGATCCCTGCTTTAAGAGAAAGAAAGAAAGATTTTACAAACCCTCTTCTGTTGCTAGAGAGCTGGCATGTCCAGCTCATCAACTCAAAACCATATGTAGTGCCATCTTCCACCTCTCAAGCTGCTGGCTCACATAAATTCTGAAGTGAGCAACGACTTTAGATTTCTGACTTCTGCTGGTCATTGGTTGCAAGCAAGGAAGCATCCATAAAAATAAACACGCACCACTGCACTTAGCAGAATCAGACACCAGAGATCAGAGACCATGGACTGATGTGTTTCTGAAGACTGTTCTGCTTCTCCTAAAACGCAGCACTGGTCTATAATGGAGGGTGTAGCTCTGACTGGCAACATAGGAAATCAATGGATTGTTTCTGCCAGGTTTTTAGTTTATTAAAAGTCAATTTTTTGTCTAACTAAAAATGAGAGAATTCTAGTCAATTCTGGTCAAACTTTATTTACCAATAAGCACATAACTCTATGCGTGGTTGGCAGAAACACAGTCAGTTAACAGCAGATTATATGATATGAACAGTAAAGTCAGTAAGAGAGACCAAACCACAGAATGTTAGAACAGAACAGCAAAAACAACAGTCCCTTCACTTCATACTTCTATCAGTATGTTTTCCAACATGAGTGATTAAACAGGCCATCTATGTAAGCAAATCAAAAAAGAACAAATGCCTTAATGGTTCCAAAAACTGCTTTATCAACTTCTTGACTTCTGAAACCCATGTTGGCTGTAAATTTAAATTATTTTAGTGACCAATATATTCAAATGCAAGGATTTTAAGACAGCAGGCCTAATGTTAAAGACAGGCTTGTTGTCGGTGTGGCTACTTAGATCTACACACCTCTCTGGATTTTTTTTAATGTTACCTGCATGCACATGATGACTGTAGAGCTTGCACTTTTTTTGTTTAAGCTTCAAGAGATAAAGCTGGGGCTGAATTCCTCTCCCATTTTGTTTATATACCTCATTTTTGTAGGACTCATATTTTGCCCATGATTCAGACTTTGGTTCAAACTTTACAGCAAGCTCTCCAAAATGAAAACACGTTTCACCTTCCAGAGAGCCGTTGTCTGCAATCAGGCAGGGAAAAGCAAAAGCCTCACCTGGTTCTCCTTATACGAACAGCTGGGATGGACCTCTGCCACCAGTGTCCCTGGCATGTTACTGACACAGCAGAGTTTTGCTAAATAGTAGAAGTTAGGTGTAAGATTTCAATTTTGGGGGATGACGAGTATACTGAGTTGAATGGACTGATTAGTGTTAGAGGATATAAACTGTATGAGGAGAAAAAGTAGCAAGCAGATATCTGAAGATGGAAAGAACCATTGGCCCTTGCTGCATGAAATAGCTTTTTCTCACTAAGGATTCAGTTTGCAGGTAAACTGTGGTACTTTACTTTGTAGGAACAAGTTTCTAGAAAAGCTGATGTGGTTGGAGTGTGAACAACGCAGTTATAGGATATCAGATTAGGCAAAGAAAATACTATGTGAAGGAGAAAG